AAACCGAGCTCAAGTTACTTCACGGGCAAGTCTAGGCAAGCCTATTGTTCCTATTGTAGTAGAGTGACGCTCATTAGTAAACCTAATCCAAATTAGTATGCAGGAAGACACTTCTTTCCGAGGTGACGTCATAGGCTTATGCATATCAATTAAGGGAAGGCATACGGAAGGCAAGGGAAGGCACCAAAACGGTTAAGTTCGCTGAAGCCCTACTACTCTTATCCTTTCAAGAATAATGGACCAATCACAATCAGGCCTGATGTAATGCTCACGTGGGGAGTGTTACAAGGCCAATGAAAATAAATTTACAACACAGAAACAAATAGAAACTTAAGTCGAAGTTACGAAAAATGCAAATCGCCTTTTTCAAGACGCGAAACTGACCAACGCGAGCGTGCTCTCGTAAACTCGGTCGCGGCTGAGGGCCGGGTGGCTGCAGTTTATTCGGAGGGCTTCCTTGATCTTTCCTTGGCTAAGATTCTCTTCTCTTGCCGGGATCCTTGCGTTATCTAGTGAGAAATTGTGGCCAGAGGCGTCGGCATGCTCTTGGATGGCAGCTGACGTGGGTTGTTGTCCATCTGTTTGCTCAAGGAAGGACAGAAAAAAGTCCTGGCTGTCCCTCCCACATGTTCCTTCCAACACCTTCTGTAGTTAAACTTTAAACACACCACATGATTTTTCTATGCTGGGCACCCTAGGCGCTACTACTGAAGGGTGCTGAAGGGCATGATGTAAGTATTTCTACCCTGTTGCTTGAATACTTTTTGGAGCTGTTTGGACTTTCCTCCTACGAACGACAGCGCCATAAGGAAACTAGAGGTCCTGGGGGCCGTCAAAGTGCACTATTTACGGTTTTCTTTTCTTTTTTTTTCACCACCTTATTATGACACAGTAATAACTTACTGAAATTCGTTAGAATAGAGCTATAAAGCGCAAGGAAACAATGAGGCTTATACAACGTGGGCTTTTCTTTTTTCTCTTTCTTCTTCTGTTTAGCGGGTAGATTGTACACCCATTTCTGGCAGCTAATGGCCGAGAGTACATGTTTCCCCATGTGTCCCCGATTAGTCGGCCTGACGGCAAGCTAGAAGACTAGACACTTAAATAAAGTTGTTGTTGTTGTTGTTGTTTCACATGATGAATAATAATAATAATATTTTTTACATTTACGCGAGGAACGTATCGCTTGATGCAGATTGATCAAAGAGGGGAAAGCAAAGACTATGGGCTGTGTTGAGAACTTGTTAATTGACAAAATCTTAAATGGTACTAGAAGATGCGCACTTCCAAAAGAAGAACTCATGCTGCAGTTGGGTGGACTTGAGGGAACACTGGAAATACATGGGATACATTTTGGCGAAATAAACCTAATTAAATCTGTCATGAAGACATGGAGAATCACACTGGAGGTAAAGCCAAGCGAGGGTAAAGAGACGGTCAGTACAATCAAAGTGAACAGAGGGATTTTGCAAGGTGATTCTTTTGTATAAGATCATTTACCGTTGTACTGAATCCCATTACATGGTACTTGAGAAGGACAGAGGGGTGCAATTTATCTCACGCTCCCAACCAAAAGATCACGCATCCGTTGTTTGTAGATGATCTCAAAACATACCACAAGTCTGAACAAAAGGCAGCATTCGTGTCAAGCAAGTTGAAAGTGATGTTTAAGGTATTAGTCTGGAGTGGGGAATAACCACGTGTGCAGCCATACACATAAAAAGAGGTCAACTAAAAACCAGTGAAAATAATACCATTTCTGCCCATGATGATGCCAATATCCCTCTCAACGGTGACCATGACCAGTTCCCAGCATTGTCGCACTTGGTAACGGGGTAGGTAAAGTCCTCATGAGTTGTGGAACGCCCACATAAAGGTGCTTTGTTTTGTCAGGGTTGATGAGCAGCGAATTTCTACAGCACCAAATCGATATTTCTTTAAGATCTTCGTTTACTGCAGAGATAACGACGTTAAGGTTCCTGAAGTTTGCTGTAGGAGAACCCAAAGAAGGAGTGTGTTGTCATCCACGTAGACGAGTGGTTCGCAATGTTTTGGGACGCGAAAGAGGTTGTATATGTTGTGGTTTAATTTTATCCTTGGTTTAATTCTTCTTTCCTTTTGTTTTTGGGTATGGTAATGTGTGATAATGAGTTTCAAACAAAAGAAATTAAAAATTGAACCAAGGATAAAATTGAACCACAACATATATATACATAATGTAAACAACACCGGGCCCCTGATGGATCCTTGCCGTACCCCAACCATTAGGGGTAAGGGATCGGATACGGTATTCTGAATTTTAACGACTTGTTCACGTTGTGATAAATAGCTTTCGAACCAGGCACACGCAGATTCAGATCCACCAGCTTTGCGAAGTTTACATAACATTAACCCATTCGCCCCTGAACCGCCCGTAACCGCCCGTGCGGATCCACGTCCTTTCTACCCTTTGTGACGTCATCCGTTTTAACGGTCAAGGACAACTTCGTCCGCTAACTTG